CGCATTTGCCACGTCGACAGGCAGACCGACCGACTGCTGGTCCTTCCAGCCTCCAGCGCAGCACTCTGCGCCCGCCCCGTCGTCGTCGCCCGCCTGCGCTCGAGTCTGCCCATCAGCTCAAATACCTGCCGCTGTCCTTCGGCTTGCCTCTCCCTCTCTCCACCACCGCCACCACCCCCTCTGGCTCCCCTCCCCTCGTCAAGGTCCTTCTGCACCTCGCCTTTCTTGGTCCGAGCCTGGATAGTTCTCTGTGAGTATCTGCACACGCTCTCGCTGTCCCCGCCCCTCCATTCCCGGACGGTCGTCTGGGCATCGCGAGTAGAGTATCTGCTGCTCGGCGAGACGCTCTGGCGGCGACGCTCTCGCGGCTAATTAACGGAGGTCACTAGCGGCATGCTGACGATGCGCCTCTTGCGTGCCTCCTCTTCTGCCCGCCATCGATCTCGCAGGCAACGGCTCCCTCTCAACGGTAGAACGGAGCGAAAAGAAGCGGCCCCCGCCTCTCACCCCATTCCTTCTCAGAGACATCGTTTCACCAGCAACCAAGAGCGCAGCGCCTTGAGCATACCGCCAACCACCATGGTCGCCCCCACACGAGCCGTCAAGGCGGTTCAGGGCCGCCGGGCCGCCCTGCGCGCCCGCAAGGCCTCCGCCGGACCCTCCCTCATGACCATCTTCATGGCCATTGTCGCCATCCTCACCTTCACCGCGGTCTTCAGCTCCGGCCCCTCGGCCGGCGGAATGGGCGTCGCCGCCGCCGCCGACAAGAGGAGCGAGTACGGAACTGTCATTGGTATCGACCTGGGAACTACGTGAGTGTCTCTCGTGGTGCTGCCAGACGCGACGGAGCGGCCCGTCGAGGGGCTCTTCGCGCCTCTCTTGGTCCGTTGCTGTAGACAGCCTTCTGACCGTGTCCCGTCGCTTCCCGCTCCCTTTTCCTCGCCGTCCTGCAGTTACTCTTGCGTCGGCGCTTCGATCAACGGACGTGTCGAGATCATCACCAACGACCAGGGCAACCGTATCACCCCTTCGTACGTCGCTTTCACCCCGGAGCGTCTCGTCGGTGACGCCGCCAAGAACCAGGCACCGCAGAACCCGGAAAACACCATCTTTGACGCCAAGCGCCTGATCGGCCGCAAGTGGGGCGAGTCGGACCTCAAGAAGGACATCCGCCACCTGCCCTTCAAGCTGGTTGAGAAGAACGGCAAGCCGGCCATCCAGGTCACTGTCAACGGCGAGAAGAAGGTCTTCACGCCCGAGGAGGTCTCGGCCATGGTTCTGCAGAAGATGAAGGAGACGGCCGAGGCCTACCTGGGCCACAAGGTCACCCACGCCGTCGTCACCGTCCCCGCCTACTTCAACGACGCCCAGCGTCAGGCCACCAAGGACGCCGGCACCATCGCCGGTCTCAACGTCCTCCGCATCGTCAACGAGCCCACCGCCGCCGCCATCGCCTACGGCCTCGACAAGAAGGACGGCGAGTCGCAGATCATCGTCTACGACCTCGGAGGCGGTACCTTCGACGTCTCGCTCCTCAGCATCGACTCGGGCGTCTTCGAGGTGCTGGCCACCGCTGGTGACACCCACCTCGGTGGCGAGGACTTCGACAACCGCGTCTCGGACTACATCCTCAAGCAGTTCCGCAAGAAGCACGGCGTCGACGCCTCGGTCAACAAGCGCTCCGTCGGCAAGCTGAAGCGCGAGGTCGAGCGCGCCAAGCGCACCCTCTCGAGCCAGATGAGCACCAAGATTGAGATCGACAGCTTCTTCGACGGCAAGGACCTCGACGAGACCCTCACCCGCGCCAAGTTCGAGGAGCTCAACATGGACCTCTTCCGCAAGACGATGAAGCCCGTCGAGCAGGTGCTCAAGGACGCCGGCGTCAAGAAGGAGGACATTGACGACGTCGTCCTCGTCGGCGGCTCGACCCGTATCCCCAAGGTCCAGCAGATGCTCAAGGAGTACTTCGACGGCAAGGAGCCCTCCAAGGGCATCAACCCCGACGAGGCCGTCGCCTGGGGTGCCGCCGTCCAGGGCGGTGTCCTTGCCGGCGTCGAGTCGCTCGGCGACGTCGTCCTCATCGACGTCAACCCGCTCACGCTCGGCATCGAGACCAACGGCGGCGTCATGACCAAGCTCATCCCGCGCAACACCGTCGTCCCCACCAAGAAGAGCCAGATCTTCTCGACGGCCGCCGACAACCAGAACACGGTCCTGATCCAGGTCTTCGAGGGCGAGCGTTCCATGACCAAGGACAACAACCTCCTCGGCAAGTTTGAGCTCACCAACATCCCGCCCGCACCCCGCGGCACCCCGCAGATCGAGGTCACCTTCGAGGTCGACGCCAACGGCATCATGAAGGTCTCGGCCGCAGACAAGGGCACAGGTCGCACCGAGTCGATCACCATCACCAACGACAAGGGCCGCCTCACGCCCGAGGAGATTGAGAGGATGGTGGCCGAGGCCGAGGAGTTTGCCGAGCAGGACGAGATGGTGCGCAAGCGGATCGAGTCGATGAACAACCTGCAGAACTTTATCGCGACGCTGCGCAACCAGGTGAGCGACAAGGAGGGCCTGGGCGGCAAGCTGGACAAGGACGACAAGGACACGATCAAGCAGAGCCTCAAGGACGCCGAGGCGTGGCTCGAGGAGAACGGCCAGACGGCCGAGGCGCAGGACATTGAGGAGCAGCTCAGCGAGCTCCAGGCCGCCGTCGCCCCCATCACCGCCGAGATCTACCAGGGCGGCCGCGGCGGGCGGCGGCCGGCGCGCGCGTCGCGG